AGCATCCTATAGGACGTTTATGAAATCCTATGAGGCGGCAGTCAAAGCTGCGAAGAGGGAGTTCTACACAGCCACGATTGCGTCTGCTAGCTCACGCCCAGCACAATTATTTAGAACAATTCGGTCTCTAACAGCTCTGCCACAGGGCAGACAAAACACTAGGGAATTGGATATCGGCTGGAAGGCTTTTGCGAGCTACTTTGCAGATAAAGTCTTGGCGCTCTGCCGCGACCTCCCCGCCACAGTTGAGACAGTGAGTGAACTCGAGGCTCCATGCATGTCTTCTGGTTCCATTCTGGATTATTTTGGTCCACTCAGCCTAGAGGAAGTTGACAGACTGAATTCAAATGCAACCACTTGCAGACTTGAGGTCCATTGTTCTTATGAGGTCCATCAGTGGCTATTAGCCACAAGGTATAGATAGGGGCTCTGGGGCAAATGGCACCTGGTATTTCTGGCCACTGTGTGACCCAGAGTGTTGGACTGGATGGGCCTTTGGCCTGATCCAACATTGGCGTCTCTTATGTTCTTAATGTCTTATGTTCTTGATCCGTGCCCCTCCTGGCTAATTAAAGCTGGCCGTGAGGGGTTGCGAGGTGCTCTCAGGGACATTATCAACAAGTCCCTCTCGGAGGGACTGTTCCTGGGGGCTCTCAAGGAAGCGCCGGTCCGCCCCCTCATTAAAAAGCCATCCCTGGATCCGGCTGAATTGGCCAACTATCGGCCAGTTTCCAACTTGCCTTATTTGGGCAAGCTAATTGAGAGGGCGGTGGCAATACAGTTGCAGAGCTTTCTGGATGACGCTTCCATGCTAGAGCCTTTCCAGTCCGGTTTTCGCTCTGGCCATGGGACTGAGACAGTACTGGTCACTCTCACGGATGACCTCCGGAGACATCTGGATCGGGGCGGGGCGGCAGTGCTGCTGTTGCTAGACCTGTCGGCGGCGTTCGACATGGTCGACCATCAGCTGCTTGCCCACCGCCTCGCCAACAATGGGGATCCAGGGGCTCGCCTTGGAACGGCTTGTCTCCTTTCTCCAAGGTCGGGGACAAAGGGTGGCCATTGGGGAGCAGCAGTCCCGAAGGTACCCACTAGTGTGTGGTGTGCCCCAAGGGGCTGTACTCTCCCCGATGCTATTTAACATCTACATGCGCCCCCTTGCCCAGATTGCCCGGAGACATGGGCTGGGTTGTCACCAATATGCGGATGACACCCAGCTCTATCTGATGTTGGGCGGTCAGTCTGACTCTACCCCGGAAGATCTGGACCGGGCGTTGCAGGACGTGGCTGGATGGCTTAGACTGAGCCGGTTGAAATTGAATCCAACGAAGACAGAGGTCCTGTGCCTGAACCGGAGCGGTACGGGGGTAGGGATCCCACTCCCAGCCTTCGGTGGGGCGCCGTTGGTGCCAGCTTCGAGGGTCAGGAGTCTGGGAGTGCTCCTGGATGCTTCCTTAACAATGGAAGCCCAGGTAGCAGCTGCTGCCAAGGCAGCCTTTTACCATCTTCGGCTGATTAGGCAGTTGGTTCCCTTCCTCGAACGCAATGATCTGTCTGCAGTGATCCATGCTATGGTCACCTCGAGGTTGGACTACTGCAATGCTCTCTACATGGGGCTGCCCTTGGTGCAACTCCGGAAGCTGCAGCTGGTGCAGAATGCGGCAGCCAGGCTGTTGATGGGCCTCCCCAGGTGGGAGCACATCCAGCCTGTGCTTAAGATTCTGCATTGGCTCCCAATAGCATTCTGGATTCGCTTCAAGGTGCTGGTTTTGACCTTTAAAGCCCTTTATGGTCAGGGACTGGCCTACCTGAGGGACCGCCTTTCCCCGTATGTTCCCCAGAGAGCACGGCGATCAGGATCCCAAAACCGCCTGGCCCTCCCTGGCCCTAAGGAAGTCAGGCTGATGGTAACCAGGACGAGGGCTTTTTCATTTGCAGCTCCGTCCTATTGGAACGAGCTTCCTGCCGAGATCAGGGCCCTGTGGGACTTGTCACAGTTCCGCAGGGCCGTGAAAACAGAACCTTTTAGGCAGGCGTTCCGATAGGAGTGACGTCTTACCAGCAGCGCCCTCTGTGAACTCCGATCCAACACGAACTAGCGCGGTGGCACCGCTGAATGGGTCCCTAAATTACACTTTCGTTTTATCGCCATCCAATGAATGTTTTATATTGACTGGTTGTGTTTTATATGACGTCTTGTATTTTTATTGTGAATGTATACTGCTTGTCAGTTTTTGGAAGCCGCCCTGAGCCCGCCTTGCGGGGAGGGCGGGGTAAAAGTGAAACAACCAAACAAATAAACCTCCAATAGCTAGCAATCCAAAACAGTCCAGTGGAGCCTGAGCGGTGGGTGTTGCCTTCTGACACACTTCCGGTGATGTCAGGGGGTGTGGCATATGCAAATAAGTTACGCTAATGAGCGCCCGCACCTCTTTTTCTATGAAATGGCCCCTGATAAGGATTCCTCTGTAGTTAGAATCACAGAATCGCAGAGTTGGAAGGGGCCCTAGAGGCCATCTAGTCCAACCCCTGGCTCAATGCAGGATCAGCCTAGAGCATCCCCGACAAGTGTTTGTCCAGCCGCTGCTTGAAGACTGCCAGGGAGGGGGAGCTCACCACCTCCCGAGGAGGCCGATTCCACTGTTGCACGACTCTGACTGTCAAAACGTTTTCCCTCATATCCAGCCGGTCCCTTCCTGCCCTTAATTTCAACCCATGATTGCGAGTCCTCTCCTCTGCTGCCAACAGGAACAGCTCCCAGCCCTCCTCTGAGTGACAGCCCTTCAAATCCTTCAAGAGAGCCATCCTGTCCCCCCTCAGCCTCCTCTTCTCCAGACTGAACATCCCCAAGTCCCTCAGCCTTTCCTCACAGGGCTTGGTCTCCAGGCCCCCGGTCATCCTCGCTCTCCTCTGCACCTGCTCCATTCTGTCCACATCCTCTTGGAAGGGAGGTCTCCAGAAATGCACATGCTACTCCAGGTGCGGCCTGACAGATGCAGTGCACGGCCTCCTCAGCCTCAAACTATCTAAATGAATTCTTTTCTGCTAAAGTCCACTGTCTCTATTCGAACCCCTCGTGGGACCCTCGAGAATTTCCCCGTCAAGGCCAACAGGATTTCCAGAGTACGAGCTTTCAACAGTCAAAGTCATCCCTTCATCCGATACAAGCTGGAATGGAGATCCGAGTCCTTATATCTCAGAAGGCTGGAGTGGGTATTGCGAAGAAGCAACGCAGGATGCAGAGGTACAGTGCGCATTGCAACCGGCTGCCTTAGAGCAGAGGGGAAACGCTTGGTGGTGGAAAGCAGGGCTATTTTTGGGCAGGAACGCACAGGAACAGAGTTCCGGCTGGCTTCAGAGTTGGCCACGCCCACTACAGCCAAAACCTCTGCATGCATGGCTACAGAGGGAAGGCCTAGAGAGTGACACCCCCCCCCCTGCAACTCCAAGGGCCAGCTTGCCTGGGCTCCCCGCAGCCGCGAGGTGCCCGGGCAAGCCAAGGGAAGGCAGTTTAAACTGCCTTCCTCCCCTCCAAGGGCCAGCTTGCCTGGACTCCCTGCAGCCAGGAGGCGCTCGGGCAAGCCAAGGGAAGGCATGGGTGTGGTCTAATATGCTAATGAGTTCCTGCTGGGCTTTTTCTACAAAAAAAGCCCTGGTGGAACGTGTCCTCAGCTCACAGATGACTCATGATGACCTGGGGGGCTTTTCAGGGCAAGAGACATTCAGAGGTGGTTTGCCCTTGCCTGCCTCTGCGTAGCAACCCCGGGCTTCCTTGGTGGCCTCCCATCCACATATTAACCAAGGCCGACCCTGCTTAGCTTCCAAGTTCTGACGAGATCAGGCGAGCCTAGCTATCTGGTGGGGAAAGTGCTTAGGGGCAGGAAATTAGCATCGGTGGTGAGACAAGGATCCTATGTCCCTATTCGGCCCTGGGGGGCGTTCCAGTGTCCAGCAAGCCGATCCCAAGTTTCACTCACAACTTCAGAACAATGGCTGAATAGTGAACATGCAATTCTTTTTGTGTTATACCCTCACTGGTCTCTCAGGTGCTACCGGACTCAGACCTAGCTGTCTCCCCTACAGACCAACACGACTCCCCTCTGAAACTACATAAAACCGTCGTTTATTTAAAAAACAATGTTTGTGGTTAAGTGTGCGGACTCTAATCTGGGAGAACCGGGTTTGAATCCCCACTCGCACCTGCTGATGTGACCTTGGGTCAGTCACAAGCTCTGCGACAGCTGTCCTTGAAAAAGAGCAGTTTGTGTCAGAGTTCTCTCAGCCCCACCCACCTCACAGGGTGTCTGTTGTGGGGAGGGGAAGGGAAAGGAGTTTGTAAGCCGCTCTGAGACTCTAAGTGAAGGGCGGGGTATAAATCCAATCTCTTCTTCTTCTTCTTCTTACCCACCTTTCTACCCTCCCCGCAGGCGTGCGGACCAGACCCAAATATGCTCATCGGATCCCTAAATTAAATGTCCTGTGCCCAGTGTTCCCCCTAAGCTGAGTTCGTGTCAGCAAGCTCACCGTTTTTTAGCCTCCGGCTCACACATTTTCGTCTCAGCTCAGATCCAGAGCAAACTAATTTATGTAGCAGCCAAATCGCCCACTCACAACTTTAATGCCGGTAGCTCACAAAGTAAGAATTCTTGCTCACAAGATTCTACAGCTTAGAGGGAGCATTGCCCGTGCCCTAAGTATCACCAACGCAGGACGGGAATAAAAGGACTGGCCAGCCTCGCAGGGCTGTTAGGGAGAGGGACAGAGTGTCTCTGTTTGGGTGGCAAAACACCCAGAGCTGTCCTGGCGATGGAGTTGCCCGCCTCACTCACTGATGTCGCAGTCCGGCTTGGGAATAAAACCCCTTGAACTCGGGTGAGGTTCAATTCCCATAAACATGCGTGTCAAAAGCATTCTTGGGAGACCCTGGATTCCCTGTCTCCCAGCTCTCCAAAGCAGATCCCAGCTCACCCCCTCCAGATTTTGCCCAACGCTCCACTCACCGGGACGATTCCTAGCGGAAGCGACGATTCTCTAGGTGCATCTAACTCCTCGAAGCGCTCTGCAGACAAACTAGAGAGTCATGTTCAGGCAAGTCCTCTAAGGCTGCCTCCTGTGGGAGGGGAGAGGGGGGGCGGGGGAACTCACCGCTCCAGGAGGATGATGGGAGATGTAGTCTCTAATGAATAAGAATGAACGAAGCGCCCTCGAGTTGCGACTGACCCGTGGTGACCCCAGCAACGGGGCGTTCAAGGCAAAAGATATTCAGAGCAGTGTTCCCTCTAAGCTGAGTTGGTGTGAGCCAGCTCACGTTTTTTTTAGCCTCCGGCTCACAGTTTTTTGTTTTCGCTCAGGAAGGGACGGCTCCAGGGCAAACTAATTTATGCAGTCGCCAAATCGCTGGCTCACGACTTTAATGGCAGCAGCTCACAAAGTAGGATTTTTCTTCACAGGTTGGCCCACAGCTTAGAGGGAGCCTTGGTTCAGGGGTGGTTTGCCACGGCCTACTTCTGCGGAGCAACCCTGGGCTTCCTTGGGAGGGTCTCCCATCCAAGTATCCAGGCCAGGGCAGAACTGACTTGGCTTCTGAGATCTGATGAGGTCGGACTAGCTTGGGCCAATCCGGGTCGAGCTGAGAGACGTTCAGAGGGCGGTTCGCCACGGCCTGCCTCTGCGTAGCAACCCTGGACTTCCTTGCTGATCTCCCATCCAAGAACTAAGCAGCAGGGCTCTTCTGATGTCCTTATCAGGGGAAGGCCTTGGCCTCTCTGCCCTGTTTTTGGCCCTCCGGAGGGACTGGCTGGCCCCTGTGTGAGACGGGAGGCTGGACTAGAGGGACCCTCCCTGGTCTGACCCAGCAGGGCTCTTCTGGTGTCCTTATCAGGGGAAGGCCTCGGCCTCTCTGCCCTGTTGCTGGCCCTCCAGAGGAACTGGCTGGCCCCTGTGTGGGACGGGAGGCTGGACTAGATGGGCCCTCACTGGTCTGACCCAGCAGGGCTCTTCTGGTGTCCTTATCAGGGGAAGGCCTCGGCCTCTCTGCCCTGTTGCTGGCCCTCCAGAGGAACTGGCTGGCCCCTGTGTGAGACGGGAGGCTGGACTAGATGGGCCCTCACTGGTCTGACCCAGCAGGGCTCTTCTGGTGTCCTTATCAGGGGAAGGCCTCGGCCTCTCTGCCCTGTTGCTGGCCCTCCAGAGGAACTGGCTGGCCCCTGTGTGAGACGGGAGGCTGGACTGGAGGGACCCTCCCTGGTCTGACCCAGCAGGGCTCTTCTGAGGTTCTTATCAGGGGAAGGCCTCGGCCTCCCTGCTCTGTTGCTGGCCCTCCAGAGGAACTGGCTGGCCCCCATGTGAGAGGGGATGCTGGACTAGAGGGATCCTCACTGGTCTGACCCAGCAGGGCTCTTCTGGTGTCCTTACATTCCATCTTTACAACAAAGCAAAAAAAAATCTGTCTGTCTGAAGAGTGCATGCACACAACAGCTTATCCCTTGAATAAAACGTCATTGGTCTTAAAGGTGCTACTGGACTCAGACTTTTTCTGTCTGGTCCAATCCATCTATCCATCATCTATCTGATTCTCTGTCTTTCTGTCTACCTACCTACCTACCTACCTACCTACCTACCCATCTATCTATCTATCTATCTATCTATCTATCTATCATCTATCTATCTATCTATCTATCTATCTATCTACCCACCCACCCATCTACCTACCTACCTACCCACCTATCTATCTATCTATCTATCATCCATCCATCTACCTACCTATCCATCTATCTATCTATCACCTACCTACCTACCTATCATCTATCATTCCTATCTGACTAATGCACTTTCCTAATCCACTTCGCCACTGGTTTTTACTGTGCAAGACGACAAAACTCCACTGGCAAACGATGGCCCATTCTGCGTCTAGCATTTGCTCCGCTGTCTTACCAAACCCAAGCTGGAACAGAAATCTCCCTCTACATTGCATGCCGCTTTCGCTTTGATTGTCGGATGTTATGGCAGCGTCCAGACTGCACACTGCTTTCACTTCGTCTGATCTCTTGGGTTTTCGTAGCTACAGTGGAGGCATCTCAGGGCTAGGCCCCCCCTCCAACTTACTGGCAAGGCCCCATGACTTCCCATCCAGCCAAGGCCCCCTGAGCGGTGGCAGGTGCAGGAAAGGAACTGAGTATTCCTGTGCAGCTGTCTGGCATGAAGGGCCAGCTACGGTGGCCATGTGGATCCAGACAGCAGTTCTCTGTTTCCCCCAGAAACTTAATGTGGTTTTGAGCCGCCTCTTTTTCTGTTCCAGGATGGTTTTGGTAAAGCAGCGGAGCGAATGCTAGATGCAACTCGGGCCGATGGCTAAAGCGCATCGATTCCTGCCCCTGCGAAAGCAACGCACCAACTTCGGAGCCAGTTTGGTGTAGTGGCAAAGTGCGCGGACTCTAATCTGGGAGACGCGGGTTTGATTCCCCCACCCCTCCACTTGCAGCTGCTGGATGACCTCGGGCAAGCCATCGTTCTGATAAGACTTGTTCTGCGGTGGCTCAAGTGGTTAAGACGCTGAACTGCAGGCTGTGGAAGGTCAGTAGTTCAGCAGTTCGAGACCCGAGTGTGCCGCATGACGGACTGAGCTCCCGTCTCTAGTTCCAGCTCCTGCCAACCTAGCAGTTCGAAAGCAAGAAATTGCAAATAGATAAATAGGTACCACTTCGGTGGGAAGGGAACAGCGTTCCGTGCGCCTTGGTGTTTAGTCATGCCGGCCACATGACCACGGAAACGTCTTCAGACAGCGCTGGCTCTTCGGCTTTGAAACGGAGATGAGCACCGCAACCCTAGAGTCGGATTCGACAGGCTTTCCAGCAAGGGAACCTTTGTTGTTGTTCAGTCGCACAGTCGAGTCCGACTCTTCACGACCCCATGGACCAGATCCCGCCAGGCCTCCGGTCTTCCGCCGTCATCTGAACCTTTACCTTTATGGAACCTTTACCTTTATGCAAAAGAGCAGTTTCTGCCAGAGCTCTCTCAGCCCCACCTCCCTCACAGGGTGTCTGTTGTGGGGAGGGGAAGGGAAAGGAGATTGGAAACCGCTCTGAGACGCCCAGTGAAGGGTGGGGTAGAAATCCGATCTCTTCTTCTTCTCTTCTGCCTCCTGCCGGACGCCGAGGGCCGCAGGACCGGGAGGTTAAAAACATAAGAGCCTAAGAGACGCCAATGTTGGATCAGGCCCATGCCCCATCTAGTCCAACACTCTGTGTCACACAGTGGCCAAAAACACCAGGGGCCCTCAGGACTCCTGAGTTCCCTCTAAGTTGTTCCCTCTAAGCTGAGTGAGTGTGAGCCAGCTCACAGTTTCTTAGCCTCCGGCTCACACCTTTTTGTCTCAGCTCAGGAAGGAGGGCTCCAGAGCAAACTAATTGATGCAGCAGCCCAATCGCTCGCTCCCAACTTTCATGCCGGTAGCCAGGGCCGGATTTAGACTTGCTGAGGCCCTAAGCTATACAAAACCCAGAGGCCCCCTACTGTTTTAAATTACATCCTCTGGTCTCAAAAATTTAAAATATATACGCCTTTTTAATATTTGAAATCATTTTTTATATTGTGTTCTTATTTGAGGCCCCAGCAGATTGCGAGGCCCTAAGCTGTAGCTTATTTAGCTTATGTGTAAATCCGGCACTGCCGGTAGCTCACAAAGTAGGATTTTGGCTCACCAGACTCCACAGCTTAGAGGGAACACTGCTCAGGAGGTCCAGCCTCCGCCCGCCAGCCGCCTCCGCCCTTGCAATAAAACCCCATGAGTCTTATTTCTTTGCAAGGAGGAGACCAGCGGCCCGCGCTGGGGAGGAGAGGCCCGCCCAAGGTGCCGGGCGGGGTGCCAGGGCGGAGGAGGGCAGGGCAGGGCAGGGCAGGGCCGGGCAGCGGCGGAGGGGAGGTGCCGCTTTCTCTCCTCCCCGCCGCCTGACTCACTTCCCTTCTGGGGCTGCCGCCTCCCAAGGAGCCCAAGCCCGGCCCGGCGCGCTCGGAGGACCAGGTACTCCCCGCTTCCTTGCGCTGCGTTTCCCCTCTGCTGCGCCCTCCTCCCGCTCCCCGGCTAGCATTTATCCCCCCCCGCCGCCCCCGGGAACGACGCTCGTCTCCGCCTCACCCGTTTGGGAGGGCTGGCTTGGGACGGGAAGGGAGAGGACGGGCGAGGAGACCCGTGCGCCAAGGCAGGCGAGGCGTGCGCGCCGCCGAAAGCTCGTGAAGGATCGGGTTGGCCCGGGGGTGGGGGTGGGGGTGCAGGGCCGGCTCGCTCACTAGGCGAACTAGGCGTTTGCCTAGAGCACGCCGGCCCTTAGGGGCGCCAAACTGCACCTGCCCCTTCGCCAAAAGGCCCCCCCCTGCCAAAAGCCCTGTATTTCCACGGCTGGGTGACCCCCGCCCGCCGCCTCTTTGGCTGACTAACTTCTCCCTGCCTGCCCCCTTGGCTTCCCAGCGGAGTGCTTCTCCTCCTCTTCCTCAGGGCTGGGGACTGGCAGCTCCAGCAGCAGGGCCGGGGGAGCGATGGCTTGTGAGTGCCCCACTGGTCAGCCTCTTCTCTGTGCGCCCTGGTGGGCGCAGGGGGGGGTGTGGCACCAGAAGGGATCCTCGCCTAGGGTGCAAAATAAGCTGGGGCCGGCCCTGGGTGGGTGGGAGATTGCCCCCTTCGCCCTTGTATTTGCCCCTCTCTCACCAACCCGGAGAGATGAGTCTCCAGTGGGCATCGGTAGGCAGGCCCCTGTGGCGGGGAGGCGGGTTGGGCCGGTGCCAGTCTGCAACTCCCAGGCAGCCTTCTTGGGCAAAGTCAAGTATTGTATTAGAACGAATACAATTAAATATTGTATTATTAGAGCGAATGCAATTAAATATAGTATATCCTGTGTTGATAATTCTGTATTGATTCAATAAAATATACCATATTAATATAGAACATGTAATGAACAATGAAGTTCTATTTAATGGACATCATTTATACCCCGCTTTTCTCGACGGAGACCAAAGCGGCTTAGGTCGTTCTTCTTTCCTCTGTTTTATTCTCACAACAGCCCTGTGAGGTAGGCTAGGCTGAGAATATGTGACTGGCCCAAGGTCACCCGTGGCTGGGGGGATTCGAACCTGGGTCTGTCGGGTCCTAGCCCAGTATAGTAACCAATGCTCCCTCTAAGCTGTGGAGCCTTGTAAGCAAAATTTCTCCTTTGTGAACGACTGGCGTTAAAGTTGTGAGTGAGCGATTTGGCGACTGCATCTATTCATTTGCTCTGGAGCCATCCTTCCTGAGTTAAGACAACAAATGGGTGAGCCGGAGGCTAAAAAACTGTGAGCTAGCTCGCACTAACTCGGCTTAGAGGGAACACTGACTGTAACCCCTCCGCCACACTGTTCTTACTGTCTTAGTATTTTCAGTGACTGTACTTATTTTGGTTTTCTGCGTTTTTGTCGTTGGTAAGATGCTTTGAGGCTGTGTTCCGGCGGGAAAGCAGCATATAAATCAATAAGTTGCAATGGGACTTTATAAAGTCAAGTAGCGGACCGTGGTGGCCCGATGTGGGGCTACCAGCTCTCACTAGGTAAATACCTGGCGATTGGGTGGGGTGGAGCCTGGGGAGAACAGGGAATGGGGAGGTGAAGGGCCTCAGCAGGATATAATGCCACAGAGTCCACCCTCCGAAGCAGTTGTTATCTCCAGGGGAATCCGTTGTAATTCCAGGATATCTCCAGCCCCCACCAGGAGGATGGCAACACCCGTTCTTTGGCATGCCTGCAAAAGGCGTGGGGTATGCTGCTGGCCCTTCGTGGCTCCCCACTTACGATCCGGGGCTGAAGAAGAGATTGGATTTATACCCCGCCCTTCACTACCCAAGGGCGTCTCAGAGCGGTTTACAAACTCCTTTCCCTTCCCCTCCCTACAACACACACCCTGTGAGGTAAAAGAAGAAGAAGAAGAGATTGGATTTATACCCTGCCCTTCACTACCCAAAGGAGTCTCAGAGCAGCTTACAAACTCCTTTCCCTTCCCCTCCCCACAACAGACACCCTGTGAGGTAAAAGAAGAAGAAGAAGAGATTGGATTTATACCCTGCCCTTCACTACCCAAAGGAGTCTCAGAGCGGCTTACAAACTCCTTTCCCTTCCCCTCCCCACAACAGACACCCTGTGAGGTAAAAGGAGAAGAAATTGGATTTATACCCCGCCCTTCACTACCCAAAGGAGTCCCAGAGCAGCTCACAAACTCCTTTCCCTTCCCCTCCCCACAACAGACACCCTGTGAGGTAAAAGAAGAAGAAGAAGAGATTGGATTTATCCCCCGCCCTTCACTACCCAAAGGAGTCTCAGAGCGGCTTACAAACTCCTCTCTCTTCCCCTCCCCACAACAGACACCCTGTGAGGTAAAAGAAGAAGAGATTGTATTTATACCCCGCCCTTCACTACCCAAAGGAGTCCCAGAGCGGCTTTACAAACTCCTTTCCCTTCCCCTCCCCACAACAGACACCCTGTGAGGCAGGTGGGGCTGAGAGAGCTCTGAGAGAACTACTCTTTCAAGAACAGCTGTGCCAGAGTTGTGGCTTGCCCAAGGTCATCCAGCCAGGTGCATGTGGAGGAGTGGGGAATCAAACCCGGTTCTCCCAGATTAGAGTCCGCGCACTTCACCACCACACCAATCATCTCCCCCAGTCCGGCCCTTTGGAAGCCCGCGTGTCCGAAGAGCTCCTTTGCTTTTGAAAACTTGGCGTTCCTCCCTTCCCGCCGCGGCGTCTGCATTCCTCCCGTTCCTGCCAGAAGATCAGGGGCCCCTTTTGGGACTGGACCCCGGCCAGAGCTCCTTCGCTGGAGGAGGGGGCGGTGTTGGTTTCCCTCGCCTCTTCCCGGAGCTGCCCGTCCCCTGATTGCCGGGCCCTACGTCACCCTCCCCGTGCCCTGCACCGGATCTTTTTCCTGGGGGGATTGCCGGCCTCCAGATAAGGCTCGAAGATCTCCCCGAATTACAGCTCCCCTGGAGACAATGGCTGCTTTGGAGGGTGGACTTTGTGGCACTGCACCCCGCTGAGGTCCCTCTCCAAACCCTGCCCTCCCTAAGCTCTGGTCCCAAATCTCCAGGAACGTCCCAAACTGGAGTTGGCAACCCGATCTCCTAGCATGGCTTCCCTCCCCCCCCCCCCAGCCTTTCTCCGACACCCGTCACATTTCAGTTCAATGCAAACAGAAATTAATTGGGGAGCGTCACCGAGTGTTGCTTGCATCTTATTGCATATTCCTCCGGTTCCAGCACGTGGTGTTGATTCAGAAGGCCGATCCCCGTCTTTGATCACCTCCCACATCTTGAACTCGGGCCAATCTTTTTTTGATTTTAAGGCGTTCCATCCGGCCGTGACAAAAACACTTTCCTCCGGCGGCCCCTCCTCACGTTCTTCCCTTATCGGCCAGTCTTTTCCCCCTTAATGTGCTTCTCGTGCTCTTTGTTACAAACGATTACGTCAGGATGTGCGCTGCGGAACTGGGAAATTTGGCAAGGATCGTGCGCGAGATGCCAGATGGGGAGTAGCTCAGCCTCACTATACGGTGGCTTGTCTCTGTACCGAAGGCGAACGGGAGAATCCAAACACGCTGCAACCTATCCAGCACGTGCTGGTCTTGGGATTTTTTCTTTGTGCTGCGTGGTTCATTTTCTGGTGCTCTTCCTAGTCCAATGTTCGGTTTCCGGGCCACAACAAAAATTTGGTAATGTGCTAGGGTACGAAGGAGTAGCTCAGGGTAGTTTTCATTGATCTGAAGGGGTGGTGGTGGTGGATAGTGCCATAAAGTTGCCACTGACTTACGGCGACCCCGTAGGGTTTTCAGGGCAAAAGTCACTCAGAGGTGGTTTGCGTTTGCCTGCCTCTGCATAGCAACCCTGGACTGTCTTGGTGGTCTCCCATCCAAGTGCTAACCAGGGCCAATCCTGCTTAGCTTCCGAGATCTGACGAGATCAGGCTAGCCTGGGCCATCCAGGCCAGGGCAAGAGACAAACAGAGGAGGTTGGCCATTGCCTGCCTCTGCATAGCAACCCTCGACTGCCTTGGTGGGCTCCCATCCAAGTGCTAACCAGGGCCAATCCTGCTTAGCTTCCGAGATCTGACGAGATCAGGCTAGCCTGGGCCATCCAGGCCAGGGCAAGAGACAAACAGAGGAGGCTGGCCTTTGCCTGCCTCTGCATAGCAACCCTCGACTGCCTTGGTGGGCTCCCATCCAAGTGCTAACCAGGGCCAATCCTGCTTAGCTTCCGAGATCTGACGAGATCAGGCTAGCCTGGGCCATTCAGGCCAGGGCAAGAGACAAACCAAGGAGGTTGGCCATTGCCTGCCTCTGCATAGCAACCCTCAACTGCCTTGGTGGTCTCCCATCCAAGTGCTAACCAGGGCCAATCCTGCTTAGCTTCCGTGATCTGACGAGATCAGGCTAGCCTGGGCCATCTAGGCCAGGGCAAGAGACAAACAGAGGAGGTTGGCCATTGCCTGCCTCTGCATAGCAACCCTCGACTGCCTTGGTGGGCTCCCATCCAAGGCCTCCCCAGGGCCGACCGGGCTTAGCTTCTGAGATCTGATGAGATCAGGCTAGCCTGGGCCATTCAGGTCAAGGCAAGAGACAAGCAGAGGGGGTTTGCCCTTGCCTACCTCTGTGTGACAACCCTGGACTTCCTTGGTGGTCTCCCATCCAAGGACTAACCAGGGCTGACCCTGCTTAGCTTCTGAGATCTGATGAGATCAGGCTAGCCTGGGCCATCCAGGCCAGGGAAAGAAACAAACAGAGGAGGTTGGCCATTGCCTGCCTCTGCATAGCAACCCTCGACTGCCTTGGTGGGCTCCCATCTAAGGGCTCACTAGGGCCGACCCTGCTTAGCTTCTGAGATCTGATGAGATCAGGCTAGCCTGGGCCATCTAGGCCAGGGCAAGAGACAAACAGAGGAGGTTGGCCATTAGGCCAGGGCAAGAGACAAACAGAGGAGGCTTGCCATTGCCTGCCTCTGCATAGCAACCC